TTGAAGTATAATAATATTTTCGTCAGACGATCGTTAGTAGGTTTAGATTTTCCCTAGTTGTTAGGTATTGAAACGAATATTGGTGGCTAACACACAATATAAATGCATCGGAGAACGGAAATCAGTCTTACAATTATTGATTAGAAAGTTATCGTTTTATCCACAAAGAGGCAGATAGAATAAGGAATTAGAGGTCGAGTAGCCGTTGCCAAAAATAGTCATCGAGGACTCAAAGTCGCGTGCTGCGAGCAGATAATGACCGCCGGAAAATAATACGAATACACATTCGTACAGGTTACGTTATTTAACGCATTGTGTGCTCTTTCTATCCCTACTTTTCTGCTCTTATCTACGCCAATAAACGAGTTGTTTCTCAGGTTTTTCATTCGACAGTCGATTAAATGTTTCTCGATCCTTACGTATCACGTGATCTGCCAGTGTCGTCTCTTCGAATGCCGTCTCAAGTCAATTCAACATAGGCCTTACGAGAAGTTAAACCTAAAAATCATTAATTAACAGACGAAACAATCAATGTTTTCAAGAAATTTTAGAAACGTTTTTAAAAACGAGTGATCGCTCATTCTGCTGCATCTGTAGTTTTTATGTTATTCTAAATTTTCCAAGCCATTTATTAAAGTTAATCTATTTATTTATCATTCGTTATTAATTGAATGAAATCTTTTAGCCAATTAGCACTGAATATATAATTATCCGACTATATATTCAATTTTAATAATTATCATATCAAAATAACTTAACATACTAAATTGCTTATAAATGAAATCAATAAGTAGGAAATTAATAATTTCTGATATGCTTGCGTAGGCAGGCAAACTTTAATGAAATAGTTATAGAGGAGGCTTTATCGGTACTAAATAAGCTATTCCCTATGTATAAGATTTTAAACACTGCAAGGAAGAGTCATGATTGATTCATAAGATAATGCGTCGAACTTTTGCAAAAATTATATTGATAATCAGGATTACACTGTTACGATGTTACACGTTACGTATATTAATATTCATGGGGATCTTGTACACGTACTATGTAAAATTATATAATCTTCAAAAAAGATTTAAAATGCTCATTAGATATTTTTATTCGAGTATGAGTAAATCTTATTAAATTAATATGTGATGTATAAGTATATTATATTATGTATAATGATGAGGATTTTGAGAAATAATAAAGTTAATTAAAAAAAAACAAAAAACAAAAAAAAAACAAAAAAAAAAACAAAAAAAAAATAAAAAAAAAAAATAAAGAAAATTTCAGAATAATTTATAAGCTAATGCATAGAAATTATTTGAAAAATTTCATTAAATAAAATATCAAACATCTTCTAACTTTATTGTGCAGTTCTAACTTATCAAGCATTTTAAATTAAATATTTATATAAATACATTTTTATTTGTAAAAGATTATATTGTTTAATATTTTTTCAATAAAAGTTTCTTTTTGTTAGTTCTATTTTGTATATATATATATATATATATATATATATATATTTTTTTTTTTTTAAATATAAATGTTTTCAATACCTTGACATTTATTATTTTAAGAAATTGAAAAAATTTAAGCCACTACGTGAAATATACTCTGGTACCAATGATTCATCCAAAGAAAAAAAACAAAAAAGAAAAAAAAAAGAATAAAAAGAATAGAATCATATGAAAATAAAAATGTAACATATACACATCTTTGGACTCGGTGAAAACAAGCAGCGAGTTGATTTAAAATTTCAGACCCCCTATACTAATATATTGGTATGTGTGCATAGGTATATAAATGTAATGTAATATAGTAATGAAAAAGGATGTATCATAATAAGTATCATCATTGATTAAAAAATTTTCATTCACTTACCCATTTTAAGATAAAAATACTTTTAAAAAATTTCTGAATTAGTCATTCAAATTTATTAACTATAAGTCAACAATAAGCGAATAAAACAGATACTTTAGTATCGTAAAAATAAGATTTAAATTTAAGAAAATTTTGATTAAAAGAGCACTTATAAACTTTCGAGAGAAATAGTGAAAAAAAAGAACATGTATTTGTCATGATTGATTTTAATGTATAGATTATTCCATAGCTTTTCTACTCTACTATAATGGAATAAAAAATATTTGAGGAAAATATTATAGATATTGTTTTGATAATTCTCTTTAGTATTACGTATATGAAAATATATATGAATAAATTGAAATATTTAATACTCAATTGTGAATGTGGAATATTTGCGTAAATGTTTTAAGAGAACCTTTATTATTATCGGTATTGGATTACTTTTATAATATGGAAATGGACACAACATGTGTTAAAAATGCTGTTTTGCCCACTCTGTCGTTAAATATACACATCTCAAATCTCATATTAAATCGATAAATATTAAATCTAAGCATTGAATTTATACACGCACGCACGCGCACGCACGCACACATATATATTATACTTAATATTATAAGCTAAAGAAGCATATTATACAATGAAAAAAAGTATATAAACGTATCTAAATAATATATATATATATATATATATATATATGTATATTTTTAAATGTGCTAAAATATGCCGTAACGTATCACGTTTTAAAATATGAGATAACATAGAAAAAATGTGAAAAATGTGTCACATGTTATATTTCAATGTCAACATTTGACAGTTTTTCAGTTTTTCAAACGTATTTTACTATATATTTTGCCATATTTTTTTGTGAATTTAAAATTTATTTTTTATATACCAGAAACTTTGACTGCTATATTACTTTTACATTCACAATTCTTATGTATAATTTATTCCATAAAAATTATTCGTACGATAGTGGAGGAATTTTTTTTTTTTAAGCGCTGCAGTACCATACAGCTAGCATGGAAAAAGAAAGTAAAAACTTAAGAAAATTATTAATTTTTAAAAATTTAATATCATCACATGAAATTGTGATTATTGCATCAAGACAATTGCGTACCAACATAATATCTTTTTATTTCATTATCAATTCTTAATTATTTGAAAGTTTTTTTTTTTTTGTTCATTTTCAACAATCTACTCGTTATTTTAAGCAACTTTTGTACAGAATATACAATGATAAGTATAAAATCACAGAGAACAATAGATTTTCAAGCAGAATTTTTACTCGCAATAATATCACCTTCGTACGCAATTTAAAAAGTAAAATTTTGTATGTATCGTCTATTTATGTTAAATAAATGTTAAATAATTCTCATCAATGCCTATTAATTACAAAGGGATCGTATGTTGATTAATGGAGAATGATTTTTCTCGCGTTGAAAAGTGCCTCCTCTTACAAAATTATTTGCCATGTCTATTAGTACTTGAAATGCTCTTGTTTCCTAATAATTCTTACGTAGTGCTCGAATAAATTATAACTTAATATTATCTTTAAAGTTCATGAAAATGAAAGTTTTATTAACTACATATTTAATGATATACGGAGCAGATTTATTTGCGGATTTTTGCAAAAGGTAATGATAATCGAGAGCTATGATTAAGACGACACTATTAACATAACAATTTGAAATTGTATGAATTGGTACAAAATTTGATACATTGATACAAAATACCAAATTCATTAGTAATAAGCCGTAGAATAATATAATTTATCTACCAGAAAGTATAAGTAAGAGCTTTAATAAAATTATCGATTGAAATTTGAAGATTCCTTTATTTACTCGTAGGATATTATTTGTAAACGGCTATTCGTGCAATTATTATACTACAGGTGAATTATAATCTAAATGCAATTTCATTTGATAATAAGAAGACGATATTTTGCCGATAAATATTTCGAATTATTTGTTCAAGAAAATTGCACTCTCAGAAGAATCGTAGGGCTGTTTATCAAAGAGGAGGATAACATTTTATCAGCCGTTTTTCAATCGATGATTGTTAAAGGAAATTTTTACAAAATATCTCTCGAAAGTTTGAGCTTTGAATTTACGCGACGCATTATCTATTTATGTTTAAAATTCGAACGAAGCCTATCTTTGCAAAAACAAGATTGCAAGCCTCGAAAGTTTCAATATTGTAGCCAAGTTGAGCTATGAAGAAAGACGAGTTTTATCTTTAAAATTTGTAAATTTATACCCAAACTGTTAGATAATAATGTTCACGTATTGAAATCGTATGAAATGTAAGAAATATAGATGAAAAAAAGTCACGTTTTCGCCTAACCGAAGGGTCATAAAGTTTCAAAGTTGCCCTTCGGCAACGCCTCTTCATTCCATGTCCTTACATATCCATGACATTTACAACGCTATTATGTTTCTTCGGTGTTTTCTTTTTTTGCTTATTTTGCTTATTCGGCGTTTATCTTATAAAAACGAGAGGAGAGCGACATTGATTCACAAAGTACAAGAGCCTGAAATTAATAAGTCACAAAGACACGCGGTATCTGGGATGAAATTAATATTTAGTTGCTTCGAGCACCATCGCGCCCCTTCTTATTTTACATTTTACGACGTGTCCTCGCCAACCCTCTATGCTCAGCATTGTTTTACCATCCTACAGGCATCAACCGAGGCTGAAACTTATCGTCCTTGTCGGGCTTTTAACCCCATAGACGTAACGGCAAGAGGATGAACGTTGGTGAGAAGCTGCGGGATGCGCGGTTTGCGCGCGGGTCAGTTGGGTTCAAATACGCGCGGCCCGATATTAGTCGAATGGTCCCCCGGGCACGTGGTTGTTGCCACGGCCGATAACAGCCGGGGGTGGGGGGCTTCGGGCCTCGAGGCATAGATGACGCGTCGCGCGGCCCTCGGGCTGCCGGTACAGTCAGTCACTCGTTGTGGTGGTCGTTGGGGGCCGAGAGACCGGGACTCGCGACTGACTGCCACCAATTTCCAGCGGCGGCGGCGGCGGCGGCGGCGGTGGCGGTGGTGGTGGTGGTGGTGGCGGTGGCGGCGACGGCAGCGACGGCAGCGGCGGCTTTCCACTGGATTCGGTTCGGTTAAGAATTCAGTCTCGCCTCGGCACTCGCTGGCGCGTGTTATGCTTTGTGCGCGACCTGTCATCGTCGTCGCCGTCGTCGCCGTCGTCGTCGTCGTCGTCGTCGTCGTCGTCGTCGTCGTCGTCTTCTCTCACTCTTTGCCGAGAGACAAACCCATCGACAACGTGTACGAATCGTATACGAGCGAGTGCGAGCCACTTGTTAAGCCACCCCCTACGTGTCGCGTCCCCGTATAATCCCCATTTGTTGTTATCGTCCCGTCCTCGTTGCCGTTTCTTTAGTTAATATCGTTGCAGTTGCTGTTGTTATCGCTGTTATTGTTGTTGTCGTTCACGTTCTTTCGTGCCTCATCGTCGCGGAGTGCGTGTTTACAATTGGTCGTGGGGTTTCTTGTTTAATTAAATTTTTATATTTGGTGGTTTTGCCGGCAAGGTCGCCGAGCTCTGAGTAAGCTTGGATCGATCTCGATGGCTTGAAAGGGAGCAGGACCGAGCGGTTGTAAGCTAAGGTGAGGAGAGCGGTGAGAGCGGAGAGTGAGAGTGAGAGAGAGAGAGAGATAGACAGACAGACAGAGAGAGAGAGAGAGAGAGAGAGAGAGAGAGTGTGTGTGTGTGTATGTGCGTGTGTGTGTGTGTGTGTGTGAGAGAGAGAGAGAGAGAGAGAAAGATTCGCTGGGCGACAAGTAGTCGAAAGGGGGAGAGAAAATCGAGAACCGGCCGTTTGTTTACGCTGGAGGAGGAGGTTAAGTGGTCGCGGAGGAGCGCGCGAGCGAGCGAGCGGGAGAGGTGAGAAAAGTAGAGAGAACTGGGCCCGCTCCCCCTGGAGTTAGCGTCAGCTGAGGCGGACGACACGCGACATCCGGACCGACGGCATGTGCGAGAGCCATGGGGGAACTATACCCGGCGCCGCCTGAAAGGGGCCCCCTCGGGGCTTACGATGCATTGGCTCGTGGCCGAGGCACGTTCCAAGACCGCGACGGAAGCGGTTCCCAAGCGGAAACTCCCGAGCTGCGGGACCGGCCCTGAATAATCTTGAAGTGCTTTAGCTGGTGAGCGAGAGGTAGGGGGGGCGCGAGGGAGAGCGAGAGAAAGGCGCAGCTGCTACGAGCGGACAGGACAAAGTGGGCCAGCGTATTCGAGGGAACGTGAGCCTCTCCATGTTCCTTAAGTCGCGCGCGCCCGATTCTGGTACTCTCGAGAGCCCGGCGTACGTGTACCTCTGTGCCCGCGTGTGACTGCGACTGTGTGCGTAAGCTTACGAGAGAGAGATACATAGAGAGAGAGAGACATAGAGAGAGAGAGAGAGAGAGAGAGAGAGAGAGAGAGAGAGAGTGAGGGAGAGAGAAAGAGTGAGAAGGGGTGGTGAGGAAAAAGAGGAACGAGAAGCGACGGTTTAAAAGGTGCATCGAGAAGCAGCGCGACCGGAAGTCATATGCCCGGAAGTAATACGCGCAGAACGGTAAATCACGAATCACGGGATCCCTGTGTATATCTGTTGAGTGTGCATGCGTACACGCATGTTCCATTCGGAGAGACGCAATTATTAATTTGATTAATTTTAGCCTCTGCATGCACCGCACAATAATTTTCATCTTGTTCGCAACTGTAATTTAATGTAAAAGAAACGTAATGCTTCTTTTATGTTGCAATTGAATTCGTAATGAATGTACGCGGAATTACGGTGGGGGGGGGGGCGGCGGCAGTGACTTTATATATTTTTTATTTTTTCCCCGAACCGAGCGCCCTTCGCGCTTGCATTCCAACGGTATAAATGTCAAATTATTCGACAGCCGATGACACTCGCTTGTGTTGCTTTTTTGTTTGGCCGTGCATCTGCATCCCGGAATTCCTTTTTTCGTAGTCTTATTGTTATTGTTGTTGTCGTCGTCGTCGTAGTCGCCGTCGTCGTCGTCGTTGTTGTTGTTGCTGTTGTTGTAGCTGTTGCTGTTGCTGTCGCTGTTACAGAAGCTGCTGTTGTTGTTTTTGCTGCGCGCTGCTGTTTACGCTTTTGCCCGTTCGACTTTTTTCGATTTATCATTTTTTTCTTGAAAATTTTTCTCTCTTTTTCATTTGTTTTTTGTTTTTTGTTTTTTTTCTAGTGAATTTTGACAATTAACGTAATAATGCACGCAGTCTCATTGCATATTAAATAATATTTGTTTGTCATCGTAAGATCAAACATCTTAAGAACAATCGTAAGATTCTTTTTAATTTTTATCTTGTCTTTTGCCTTGGTTGTTTATAATGAAATTATTGGTAGCAATCAATTTTTCAAATACATAAAGACGCACGTTTGTGGCTTAATTGTTAATGCCAATGTGTTCATTTTCATAAATCACTGATAAGATTATAAATAAACAACTAACAAGTCAATTTTTAATGGCGTATTGATGTTCAAAGTTTAAACAATGGACGGCCAAGCGTCTTGGAAGGTAGCAAATACATCAGCATGTTACAACATAGATTTTTTATCCGCGTTTTAGATTGTCTTATAGAATATTTAATTGTTTTCTATATAAAAAAAAATATATATAATTACATTATAAAAATTATGTGAAAGCATTATCTTGTATATCTCATTATTTCGTCATTGTTCTCACTCAATAATACTGTTGGATTCATTGAAAAAAAAAAAAAAAAAAAAAAAATGCATCCACCTATTCAATTACACGCTCTTCACAACTTGAATAAGCTTTAGAAAAATATTATTTAATCATCGCTCCACAATAAATTAATAATAAATCTTAATTAATAAATCTTATTAATAGTAAGTAATAATTTAGAAAGTAATGGTAAAGTAAAACTTAAATCCCTGTCTATATATTTACAGAGACGGGAAAAATGGTGGAATAATACGTAATTTACTTTTTATTATAATCGCAATATAATTAATCACGTTCTTTCGAATAAGATTTTTATTTCTTTGGGTAATATAATGTAAATTATCGAGAATTCTTGTAATTTTTAAGTTTTCCTAAAACCAAGTAATGTGCTTTATTCACATTGAAATTAGTGTTTGATCAAATTTTTACTATCCACTATTCCATATAAATGCAAAAATATCGACGTCCTATTTTCCTAGATTAGCTTTTATTTTTTTATACAGCAATCATTATTAAAAGTTTTAAATTAAAAAATTTTTATTGGCATTATTTGTTAGAACTATTTGTTTTTTGTTTGTTTGTTTGTTTGTTTGTTTGTTTGTTTGTTTGTTTGTTTTTTTTAATCTGCTATCGTATTTGTAACCTACTTTTGTCAACTACAATTTTTCTTCTAATTTAAGCAAATTATTAACTTGAAACCAATAACATCCGAATTAAGTAAAATTAAACAAAATCATTTCTATCGTTAAATTTTACCAATTAATACTTCATTAATAAGGATTTATCAATAAATTTTTTAGGAGATGTTCAACTTATGTTGTCTCTGGGTGGTTGTATTCAATGTATATTCAATTTCACTGATCCTTATAAGCTTACTTACATCGTTACGGCTGGAACTTGCTTAAGAACTTCCAAGAAATACATGAAAATGTAAGGTTTTGCGTGATTTTTATTTAAGCTCTATTTATTTCTGCTCCCACAAGGTATATTGTCTCAATTTATGTATGTGCAAGTGAGATTTGATATAAATATTAATATTGTGAATTTAGATGTTAAAGCTCGTGTCGATATAATTATAATATCCATCGCGAGCTTTTCTTCTTTAACTTATTATGAGGAATGTATTGGTCGTTCTAAGGAAAGTTTTAAAATTTTTCCTTGATTACATAACGACGATGAAGCATCGAAATGCATGTATAAATATTTTATGCTCGTGTTCATAGATCATTGCGCCCCATAATGGACTGCTGCATTAAATATTCTACAAATCGAGAATGAAAAGCTTATATTGCAGTCGGCAGCATCATACTTTCTTAATTTGTGTCGTAAACATATTTAAGTTGAAATTAAATATAGTAATTTATTAAAGCATAAAATCAAAAAATGTTTAGTCATACTAAAATTCAATATGAAAATAAGTTGAAATTTAAGTATCGAATAAAATTTTTTATGACGATCGGTAACTTAAATTTTACGTCGTGCACATAAAAAGCACCGACATTTTGTGAACGCAATTTTCGTCATTGTGCTTATTGAGCTGCGTATAAACGGGTAAATCGTATTAAGAAAAAAATTCTTTATATTCTTTCGTGATTGAATTCCAATTTTTGCGAATTCCATTAGCATTTCTGGCGCCACTGACATGTATTGAATTTTGCCTCGTTGAATTATATAGTGGGGCATAAAAATTCGCGCTCGCGCCTTGCGATTTTCGTCGTCTAGCCGCGTGAGATATCGATTTTTCTTTCCTCTCTCCTTTTTTTTTTTTTTTTTTTTTGCTAGTTTAAAAGGGTAAAATAAGGGAAAAAGCCGAGTGAGACCGATAGAATGAAGGGATGAAGGAGCGAAGGAAAGAGAGTGAATCAGTGAGCGAATGAGAAATCACTCTTCGCGTTAGTATCACTGCAAAAATCGAATCCTTAGTTTAAAAGAATTATATCTCAAATTTCTTTTACATGTCTACTGAAATTCTCAATGATGAATAATACAAGGAAAATACTGACACGTTACGTTTTCCGAACTTAATATTCGATTAAGCGTGCGATAAATGTGTTGTAGAAAGCCTTATAAATATAAAGGTAACAACAAAGGTACGAAGAAATGGAGGCGATATTAGTCTGCGGGATTGAATAATTATAGTCGAATAAAAAATCTTAATCTCAATCCTACAATTCGTACGATTTATTCGGAAGGTCTGTAATTTCATAATTTTTGAAAGCCAATCGGTGTTAAGAAGAATGTAAGGATATTTAAAGAAATCTCGTAGAGATTTCCCCGTTATTATTATTATTATTATTATTATTATTATTATTATTATTATTATTATTATTATTATTATTATTTTTTATTATTATTATAATTGTTATTGTTATTATTGTTATTATTTTTATTATTGTTATTGTTATTGTTATTATTATTATTTGCAAAGTAATATACTGTCTAATTCTAAAAATGTGAAATATAATAAATTCAACTCGCTATAAGAGGACAATATTTCAATTTTAACAAGTTAAAATACAAAATCTTATTTGAAAATTTTACCACTTTGGTGTAACAAAAACGGAAAAGAAAAAACGACGTACAATAAATAATAGCTCGAGTATAAAATAATAATATTCAAAATTTTCTTTAAATATATCCCTTGCAAGGAGGAGGAAATTTTTAAAGCTATACTATGCAAAATTGGTTTTACAAATCAGATCTTGTAAGTTGTATTCAAGTCATTTTTATTGCTCGTAATACTTATAATATGTACGGTTTACTACATACACTTGTTTCCTCCTTATTTAATTTTGCATAAGTGGCATCGTCATTTAACCAACTGATATGGCGAGTTTCTGTATTCGTTCTGGACTCGTTTGGCGCTCGTACTATGATAAAAAACGGCATTCTTTTATTTGCTTAAG